CTGTTCATGGTGACAAGAAGGAACAGAAATTGAAGGGCAGTTTAGTCTTAAAATACCCCAAGAGCACATTAAGGTATTTCAGAATGGAGTCTCCAGATCCATCACTGAGTCCTTTCAGCCAGAGGAGTATCTGACTTCAGTAGATCTTGTTGATCAGATCAAACCCTGTGGCCAAGGCACACCAAGAAACAGAACTATATACTGTCTGCAGAACTACAGATTCCTGGTCAAGTTCTCTAGCACCTTCTAAGAAAGTACTACACCTAGGTGTCAGGACGGTCACAACTTGATTATACACTAGACCACTACAGCAGTTTCCAAGACATTTCCAACTACAAGTTATGACCAAGGGGGGGACACCCTTTCCATCAGGGCTCCCTTACTGTAAAGAGCAGTCTCACTGGGAGGGCAAGAATGCTCAATCCCTTTCAGCTAAGGAAACATTGCATCTCGGAGCTGAAGCAGATCTTTCTCAGTCTCCGGTCTGCCTGATTGTGGACAACGCTAGAAAGCTTACCAGGATAGGGTTGGTGGTCTGGGAGCAAGGCAAGCCCCCTGGAGCTTCAGACAATTTATCTGGCCCTCCTTTACCATCATCCTACATATACTTGGTCAACATGTACTAATCTGACCAACAACATACAATGAAGGTCTAGCTCTTCATCTACCACAAGGAAACTATCAAGATCATAAGGTGGGTGGAAAAAAATCTGACATCATCAAACAAGCTTCAAGTGAATGAGAGGGCGGGACTATCAAGGATAGCAGCCGCATAACATTGCAGCTCCCGATCCAATAGTACCCCTTCTACTTTGAAAAACGCTTAAACTACCTTGAAACACACTAAAACCACCTCCCGATATGGGCAAGAGAGAGCAGATAAGAATTAAAGGGGTTTCCAGCAATTCTCGGACACTTTGAGGTGGAAAAAACCCAAGGCCTACACAAGCATACTGAAGACAAAATGGCGGCGATCACTAAACCGGCGGAGAGCAGCACACAGCAGACATTCGAATCAACAATTTTGGATTATCTAAAGACTATGGAAACTAGCCTGATCAATCGTATTACTACACTTAAATCACATGTCGAAGAAATTAAACTCTCTGTAGCACAAGCAGTGGAGAAAGCAGATTCAGGGCTGGAGCATAGCAAGGAAAATCAGAGAAATATTAAACATTTATCTGAGCATGTATCTACTGTTACAGACCGTTTATTGACTGTGGAAACTGAACAAAAAACTGCAAATTTGAAATTATGTGGATTTCCAGAAGAGGCAGAATGTAATGAAGATTTAATTTCTTTTGTAGCCTCTTTCATAGCAAATGCATTGAAGCTTGAGGAAGGTGTATTTCCAATTATCAGTAATGCAACCCGTATAGGATTTAATTATAACACCAAACGAAATACTCCAAGAGACATTCTCATTACAATACCTGATATAAGAGTACAGAGAAGGATCCTAATTGAGGCTCAAAATGTTAAAACTTTTGTATATATGGGAGAACAAATTTCTATTTATCCGGATGTCCCAAGAGACGCTTTGCTGATCAGGAAAAAATTAAAAGTAACCACCAAACAGCTGCAGGATTTAAAGCAAAAATATCGATGGTTACCCTCTGGCAAACTCTATGTTTATTATCAAGGCAAACATTTTTATGCATATGATGAAGAAAGCGGAAAACAGCTAATGCAAGCTCTGCAAACAGAAACTCCAATGAAATCAGAAGGAGGGAAAAGATTTTTTAAAATAAGAAACTTATTTCCGTTGTCTCCACTGAAATCCAGCAAACTTCCAGTGTATACTGGAAGCAGATAAGCTTCATAATCA